TATTATTATTATTATTATTATTATTATTATTATTGGTGAAATACTATTACTATTATTATTAATATTATTATTATGGTGAAATAATATTAGTAATATTGTTATGTGTATTATTATTAATAATTATAATAATTATTACTATTATTATTATTATTATATTATTATTGGGAATATTAGTGGATGGAATAAGTAAATGGGAAGTTGAGGGAATATGAGTTAGTGAGAGAATATGAGGAAAAACACGATAGAATGGCCAAAGCAGAAAATTGGGAAAAAGAGAAGAGCGGAGAGGAGAAGGGAGAAGGTTAAGCGATCCAATTTTGGAGGATTTCTTCGCCGATCAGAACAATTATCCAGGTAAGGGGAGAAACTGATTGGGATGGTCTATACATGAATAGGGTAGAAGGGATTCCTTAACCCCGTAGGAATGTATTCGATGTATGAAGGTTTGTATTGGCATGCTTGCAATTGTGATTGATAATGATAATTAGTATCTGATAATGATAATTGATATATGATATTGATGAATTGTTGTTATTGGTGAGTTTGGTGCATAGGTTGTGTTTACGGTTTTTAGGGAAGTTCTGTGTGACCTTTGGAAGTATCGATAGAATGCCTGAATGTTGATTCTGGAATGTGATTTAGGGAGAGATTGATTAGAATATTGTGCATTATTGATACTGATAATAAGATGAGAGTTGGAAGTAGGAAGTTACACTAAATTTGACTCAGATAGCACTGCAGAAGCTGTGGGAATTTTGGGTTATCGCAGCATAGGAATTTTGGGTTATCAGTAATTATTTAACTTTTTAAAAGATAATATGTAATTATGATTATTTTAAGTATGTAATTTATCAAAGCTTAGAGTGTATGGACTTTATAATCATTAGCATTCAGTTTTATTAAGAAAAAGTTTTGGATAAATTTAATCATAAATAAAATACATTATAAATCTTCAAAATTAAAATAATTAAATCTATAATTAAATATAGTAATATTAGTTGAGTACGGAAGTTGTTATATGCTTCTATTTCATTCAATAATGGGATTAGTGGGTTATAAAGCAGTTAATCATTTTAGAAGTTACTACTACTTTTTTATTATCATTTCTTATTTAATTAATTTAATTAAGTGGAAAGTTGTTATATGCTTCTATTTCTTTCAGTAATGGGATTAGTGAGTTATAAAGCAGTTAATTATTTTTAGAAGTTACTACTACTTTTTTATTATTATTTCTTATTTAATTAATAAATTATTTGTTATTAAAGATGAAGAAAAATAACTTACTAATCTATTAACAGTAAAAAAAAGTGTAAAATGAAAAATAATAAACGGTTGGCGGTTAATAAACCTTTGTGTAACCGCCATTGTGAGAAAAAAATTAAAAATTAAAAAAAAATTGAAAAGGGTAAATTTAGAAGAAAAAAAAGTTACACCAAAGTCATCTATTACCTTTATATATTGTTATAGATTATTTCTTATTTAATTAATAAATTATTTGTTATTAAAGATGAAGAATAATAACTTACTAATCTATTAACAGTAAAAAAAAGTGTAAAATGAAAAATAATAAACGGTTGGCGGTTAATAAACCTTTGTGTAACCGCCATTGTGAGAAAAAAAATTAAAATTAAAAAAAAATTGAAAAGGGTAAATTTGGAAGGAAAAAAAGCTACACCAAAATCATCTATTGCCTTTATATATTGTTATAGATGATTAGTATATGAAGCAGCATCATGAATGATTTTTGTCAAGAAAACCTTGAAAAATAACATAGTTTCTTCATAGATCAAGCCACTTATCCTCTTGACACCTCCTCTCCTAGCCTATCTACGAATCGATGGCTTTGTAATTCCCCAAACTTGTCGCGCAAAATCATCCCGTGCCTCTTTGCCCCTCCATTTCCGAGCCCCTTAATACCCTTTCCACGATTTGCCATTTTTGTAAGAAATTTTGAGAAACTGTTTATACTTTTAAATTTTGAATGTGAAAAAGTAGAAGATGAAATGGGTATTTATATATCATTATGAGCGGGAAATGAAGAAGATGTTCATCCTCTAGCATTGGATTTAAAGTAATAGACGGTTTAGATTTGACTGAGTTTTTCAAAATTTTTTAATTATTTTATAATTTATTTTAAAAGATTGTTTTTAAAATAAAACAAAATATTGGTTAATCATATTTTCAAAAATTATATTTTAAGAACTCCAATGAATTTTTTTAGGCAATTATAATTCACTTATCCATACAATTCATTAAATTGTATGAGAAAAATTATTGATGATAATGATCAGTAATTATTTAACTTTTTAAAAGATAATATGTAATTATGATTATTTTAAGTATGTAATTTATCAAAACTTAGAGTGTATGGACTTTATAATCATTAGCATTCAGTTTTATTAAGAAAAAGTTTTGGATAAATTTAATCATAAATAAAATACATTATAAATCTTCAAAATTAAAACAATTAAATCTATAATTAAATATAGTAATATTAGTTGAGTACGGAAGTTGTTATATGCTTCTATTTCATTCAATAATGGGATTAGTGGGTTATAAAGCAGTTAATTATTTTAGAAGTTACTACTACTTTTTTATTATCATTTCTTATTTAATTAATTTAATTAAGTGGAAAGTTGTTATATGCTTCTATTTCTTTCAGTAATGGGATTAGTGAGTTATAAAGCAGTTAATTATTTTTATAAGTTACTACTACTTTTTTATTATTATTTCTTATTTAATTAATAAATTATTTGTTATTAAAGATTAAGAATAATAACTTACTAATCTATTAACAGTAAAAAAAAGTGTAAAATGAAAAATAATAAACGGTTGGCGGTTAATAAACCTTTGTGTAACCGCCATTGTGGGAAAAAAAATTAAAAATTAAAAAAAATTGAAAAGGATAAATTTAGAAGAAAAAAAAGTTACACCAAAATCATCTATTACCTTTATATATTGTTATAGATTATTTCTTATTTAATTAATAAATTATTTGTTATTAAAGATGAAGAATAATAACTTACTAATCTATTAACAGTAAAAAAAATGTAAAATGAAAAATAATAAACGGTTGGCGGTTAATAAACCTTTGTGTAACCTCTATTGTGAGAAAAAAAATTAAAAATTAAAAAAAAATTAAAAAGGGTAAGTTTGAAAGAAAAAAAAGCTACACCAAAATCATCTATTGCCTTTATATATTACTAGCGTCCAGACGGGCACTCGCGTGCCCGTCTGTCCGCTTTTTTATTGCACACATATAAATGTCCGTCTGTCCGCTTTTTTATTGCACACATATAAATATAAATGATATATTTTTATTTAATATTAATTTTCAATGGAAGTTATTGTGTAAGTTATATATTTTAAAATAAGAGTAAATTTGGTATAAAAAAAAGCTACACCAAAAACCAAGTATTGTTTTTATATATGTTAGAGCAACTTTAACGCAAGGTTGTTAAACCAAAATTCCTTATAGTTTACGTTAGTAATAAGGAATTTGCATTATAGTAGAGCTGACATGGCATGCAAATGAACTAAAATTTAGTTTTCATTATCTATATAGTTAACGTTAACTATTCTTGTAAAACTTATTATAATATTATTTAATATTAATAAAATATTCTAAATATTTCATTTTAAATAGTAACGGTCATATTACCATTTTTTACCTTCTATAAATTCTATAGAAACTTTAATTTTTTACCTTCTATAAATTCTATAGAAACTTTAATTTTTTTTACATACAGTTTTACTTCTAAATTTTTTTCTTTCAATTTTCAATCTTATTTATTTATCAAATGGATGACAACCAATCAAATCCTTATTATAATTATATTCCTATGAAAATGTAATTTTTTTAATTATTATTGTTGTGAATTTTGTATCATTTTTAATTTTATAATAAAATATATTTAATATTATTTTTAAGTTTTTAAGGTAAATTTTTTTTTAAAAAATATATGCATTTTAAATAAAATAATTAAATTAATGGTAACTTGAATAAAAAATATAAAATGTGGGATCAAGTCTTGGTTTCTTATAGACAACCACCATTAAAGTAAAAACTACTCAAATCAATTATAAATTTTTTAAATCCTACAAATTTCTTTGGGCCCACAAAAAGTATCTTAGTTTACCCATTTAGTTTACTCCCATTAAAGATGCTCTTATAGATTATAGATTCCAACCTTCATAATTTATTTTATATCACTTCTTTTCGTGTATCAAATTTCTATATAATTGAAAATGAATAGTGATATCCACAAATATTAAATTTTTATCGCATTTCATCATATAATCTCCATATCTATGAAAAGTAATAAATAATTAAAAAAAGTTAAAAAAAAAAAAACTTATAACCAAGTTATAGGTAAACAAACATACACATTGAAAAACATATAGCAAAATTATCGGATAGAGATTACATAACATGCCGGAAAGTTTTCTGATATAGGCAAAATACATAACCTGACTATCTTAGAAGTTATTTGGTAAACAATTTTTCAAACTAAATAACATGCCGGAAAGTTATCTGATATAGGCAAAATACATACCAATTACCAAATATCTTCCCTTAAAGCTATCGGGTACACAAGTGTATGGGTGCATATTTATCAATTTCAGAAAACTAAAATAAGGGGGTAAAAATAAAATAGTAAATTTTTTTATGTGAAAAGTATAAAATAGGAATATTTAAAAAAATTATAGAGATTGGGATAAGTTTAGGGTATGGGTCAAGTTTCCTAGCAAATATCATTCGAAGCTGGTGTGCGACCCAGAGAAGGGAGATAGCCTAGTTCTGGTGATTCTTAATTTCGTGTTTTTGAAGATGCATTGTTTTATTACTATTTTTATGAAAGCTAATTAGTTGAGGAGCATAACTTAATTTCAGTTTTTTAAAAATGCATAAATGATTATTCACTTGGAACATAGGTTTTAACGCTCAATTTCACAATATTAGCACTATTGCGCACTCAAAAATAAAAATAAAAATAAAAATGTTGAACCCATTTTCATTTCGTTGCTCCAATTATGCTTCTACGACGGCGCTTCCTTCCCTATTACTCCATAATACTACGTCTCTTCACCTCAACAGATCATCTCTCACTTTTCCGTTTCCCCGCCGGCCGTTCAGTCCACCGGAACTCCGGTCAGTTCCCCCTGTCTATGCTGTTGCCTCTTTTCCATTCTTCGATATCAGCGGAGGCAAAGGGTGCGTACGTGTAATTTCTCCTCAAAACTCACTTGTAGTTGATACCAATGTCGAAGTTGTTGAACTTGAAATTGGAACTTCGATATAATTTTTTACTATCTGGTTTGCAATTGAAGGTTCTTTGCTTTGTTTCAATAAATGAATCATTTATCATTTTAGAATTTCAAGTGTTTTTGTTATAATTTTTCAATCATAACCTTATTAATGGACAAATCCTATGGTCCGTGACGGCTAAAATACATTTTTCTTCCCCTATTTTATATCTCAATTTGATGGTTGATGATATATAATATATTTAAAATTACAAAATAGAAGTATTGGTATGTTGTATTTAATTTATAAGAATTGATCTATTTAATAAGAATTTTTTATTTGATGGTTGGATCAGTGGGATTCATTGTTTAAATAATTTATTAAATGAAGTAACTCAACTTTTTACTTAATCTTGGAATCAATGTATCTCCACTACAATACTTGATGACTTAAATACAGTTTTAGTTTCTCTATCATATTACGAATTTGATCTGTTGTTTATAAGATCATAAATTTTGTACCCAGGTTTTCAAAGTATTTGGGGCTGAATTTTGATAATGTGGCAAATGAGATGTTTATGACTATTTCTATTTTTTTAATGTAATATTATGACCTTAAGATCAACCATCATTCTTGAATCAGACAATATGAATATTTCCTCTGCAGACTGGACAGTTAAGATCAACCATATTGTCAGATCTAAGAATGAGGTGCTAATTTTCTTGCATCTTTGAGCTTTAATTTTAACTTAGAATTGTATAAACTTGCAGATCCTCCTATTGAGCTTTTCAGGGTCATGATTATAGATCTTTCTATGGATTAGCTTCAGTTTGTTGTGCGTTGTGTTTTCTTGGGCTTTTAGCCCCATTTAATCACCAAAATAATGGGTCAGAATTATGTATCGGATAAAATAGTTACCAACACTGTATTTAAGCCTATGTTGATTAAATTTTCTTATCCACTCCCTCCATCTTCTGTTAAAGTCATTTGTTGTTTTAATGCATAAATTAACAACTGCAATTAATATCATAAGTTTTAGGGGAAAAAATTATATACTTTTCTAAGTTATTGTTTATAAGAAGAATATCAAAAGAGGTATTTATCATTGTTAAGGTATAATAGGAAACAAATCATTTAATTTCGTTCCGTGCATAGAAAAGTTTGAGCAGATTGGGTAGGATTGTTTATTTCTAGCTTGACAGAATTATATTTACTGAAATCTTAGAAATGGAAATGTAAGTTCGTTCATTCTTCAAATCATATATAGCATTTCTCTTGCAAGTTGACACGTCATTGTACTATCACAGACAGGTCAATATGTTATACTCATTTGCTTTTGTCATTTTGCAGCATGAATGAGTTCTTTGACGTGGAACTAAAAGTTCGCGATTATGAATTGGATCAGTTTGGTGTGGTCAACAATTCGGTTTATGCAGGTTATTGTCAACATGGTGAGACCTCATGAGTTATTACATGTAGATTTCCAATACACAAACTGTTACTTTTATCTGAATTTTATGTTGAGATCACCTTTTCTAGATGATGTTTTAGATAACTTTTGTTTTTTGTATGTAATTTTAAAGAGAAGTTAATTTGTCCCGTTTACAAATCTAAACGAAAACAAAAATTTGACATGGTATAATGCAAACAGAAGTGCTGCAGTAATTTGATGACTTTAGGATCAAAACATTATTTAGAGTCAGTATCTTTGATCCTTTCTCAAGAGAAAAAATGTATAGTATGATGATTTGTAGTCTTGAGCAAATGACTTGAGTTTATACTTGTAGTCCATATTTAAATTTACCCATGTCAAGAGAATCCTTTTGGTAACCAACAAATTTAGAGTAGCATAAGATATGATTTGTATAATATTTTTTTATTCATGATTAAACAAAGTTATAGACTCAATAATCATATTAAAAAGGAATGTAATTGGTCTCAATCTTGATTAAAGGGAGTTATTGACAATTTATGGTTTTTTGGAGTGTCAAATAAAATCTTTTCTGTTCAAATTTGGATGCAACCTAACAGTTATTTGACACTGCCCGTTTCTTTTTGTTCTCTTGAGTATTTTACATATGGTACTTTTCATATCTTGGCAATGGTTTTAAATGCTGTCCCTTTTAAATTGATCTCTTTTGTGATATATTTGTTCTTTTCTAATTCATGTGATCAGTGTACTCCTAACAGGAAACTGAATTGAAATATGTTGAATTAATTATTTGCAATTATTTTTAATGTATCTTTCTGATATTTGTAGCAATTAAAAGGAATACTTTATTATTTCCAGGCATAAACTGATAGTTTATATTGTTTTTATTTATAAATATCTTCACAAGGTCGTCATGAATTCTTTGAAAGCATTGGTATTAATTGTGATGCGGTGGCTCGTGGTGGTGATGCATTAGCATTGTCAGAACTATCCTTCAAATTCCTTGCACCTCTAAGAGTAAGTTACGCAAAATTTGTTTGTCACTTGTATTTGTAAGGTATAATCTCTTTATGCAAGGTAGTACTCTAGAAGGTTATGTAATAGTGTATATCATAGATCTGTTTGCCAATGTTTGTTCTGATTTCTAAAACAACTTGCTACCAGAGTGGTGACAGATTTGTCGTAAAGGTTAGGGTTTCTGGCACTTCAGCTGCTCGTATATACTTTGATCACTTCATCTATAAGCTACCAAACCTAGAGGTCTATTTTCATCACTTACAGTTTACATTTTTTTTACAATCTTAAAAATATTTGTTGATATTTGGTGAATTTGATGACAGCCTATTTTGGAAGCCAAGGCCACAGCAGTGTGGCTTGACAAAAACTATCGTCCCATTCGAATTCCGGCAGATTGTTAAATGTATTCGTAGAGAGGACTCTTAGTCCATCTTTCACATGAACATTTGATTGATAGATCATTGAGAAAGTAAACTATTTTTGTACTTGACTTCAATTTGGCATGTGGACGGCAAGGAGGTAGAAGTAGCAGCACCGTTCTGTAATAGAGGATTGTGTAATTTTAAATAATTAGAAACCTAAAAGCATAAATATCGGCAAGGAGGTAGAAGTAGCAGCACCGTTCTGTAATAGAGGATTGTGTAATTTTAAATAATTAGAAACCTAAAAGCATAAATATCCCCACTGGTTCACCGTTCATACACGATAACCAAAGTTTCAAGTGTCATATAATGGATAATTGAACTAAAGTAACGATTTCTAGTTTAGTTAGTGAAAGTTCTCTAGTTTGTGAACGTTTTCTAACTGCCAGTTGGATAATTGCGAGATATATTATAAAATTTGGTGGGATCTATTTTAGATTTTTAATGGAAGTATGAATACTCGAAAAATTTAGTTGAGTTTAAAATAATTGGAAAATGTAAAATAATATAAAAAAATTGAGTGGGATCCATGATTGATGTGAGTGTTCTAATTTAAACTATAATTCTAGCAATTTTTTTTTCTTGATGCCTAGTAATAAACCTTATGGGAACATTGTTTCCCTACTCTAAATTCTATCCGTAGGCTCTAAGGTTTAATTTGCATTGATGGAGTCAAATGGACTGAAGCAGAATGAGATGAAATGAAGTGGTATTTTATTGTCTGGATAATTTAAAATCAAATGGAGTCGGATGGAGTGAAGCAGAATGAGAGGAAATGAATTGGTATTTTATTGTCTGGATAATTTAAAATCAAATGGGTAAAACGGAATAGAATAGAGTAGTATACATTATATTCTTTCCATTCGAATTTGGGACAGAATAAGGACTTGTCTTGCTTAGTCTTAAAATTTCCAATCATCTATGAGATTGAAATATAGCCTAAAACTTTCTTTCTTATTGTTTGTTGCACCGAATTATTAAGGGTGGGGAATTACTGGTTTGGACCATTTTTTCTTGTTTATGTATGCTTAGTTGCTCTGAGTATTTATATAAAAGAAGGCATGACAACATAACACGTACTCACAAGTATCCATCCAAACTCACTCCGAAGTTGACGGGAAAACATGCTTTGATTGGATTTAGATTTTTTTCTATTATAAAATATGAGAATGAGTCGGGTAATTGGGACACCATTACCTACCCCGAATCCGTCTGGTCACTTTATTATGTAGATTATTATTTAATTTTAATAATTTAGAATATTAAATATGTGACTAATATTTTGATGTTTTAATTTGTATTTATTATTTAAAACATTTGTAATGTATGTATGAAATTTTTAAAGATTATTTTAGTTTATTGTTTGTAATGTAAATTTAATATTGAAAAAAATAATCTTTTTATATTAAAAAAATTGATTTCATTAAATGAATGGTGGCAGAGCGAATTTGAGTTTTAATTCTCTGTCAAGATTAGGTTCGGGGCGGAGAACGGAAATTATTTAGAAATTCGAGTATGAATTTAAAGGAGGTAAAAACCGTCCCGACCCGCCCGTTGTCATGCCTAATATAAGGTTGTTAAAAAATATTGCACAATGTAAATTAAGTCCTAAAACGTTATATGCTAAAGAGGAGGCTTTTAGCTTCACATAACCTTTAAAACTTTGGTACCCAAATAAATACCAATGTTTGTCGAATATATTATGCAACTGTTGTCTAAATTATAGACCACTCCATTCATATGGTGTTTTTTTGAGTAGTTTATTGTATTGGTAGTATTCTATGAGTTGTCTTTTAGATTATATATATTTAGAATACAATAATTATGATGCAAGGTGGGTGTTGAATTTAACAATGAACTGTACAAAATAGTATGGTGGTACCATACTATTCTTGAATATAAATTTTCTTTAAGTGGAATAGTTTATTGTTCTGGCAGCATTTTGTTGTAACTTGTGTATTTTGCAAAATATCTATAGGTCTCTATTTTACATGTAAATGATTATTGTTAAACTTGAAAAAGATAACAAATCAAGGGTCTAATACGCAAATGCAATTATACCTACACTAAACTGCAGCAATGACAAATCTTACGGTAAAACTGTAGGATTTTTATAGTTCTTTCACTGCAGATACTTTTGTCTCAGTTATCGTTTTTGTTTTACACTTAAACTCTTGTAGCATATATATAATTATTTACATACACGTATAATGTATCTAAAAAGTGATTTTTTTCTCTTTTAAAAATCAATAGGTCAATGCAATTATAGGCTTGGTTATTTTCCCACCTAAACAATCATCTGTTGATTGAAACACATAATTATTTATTGCCTAATAAACATAACAAACAAAACCAATGACTTGGAGCATCTCTCGTACAGAAATTTTCTTCCTTTTGTTTACATACCAACCTACAAGTTGTACTATTCAAGTGACTCAAATATAAAAGGTAGTTTTCGTCAAAATTTTATAATAAAAAATATCGTGTAGTTTTCGTCAAAATTTTATAATAAAAAATATCGTCACCCACATCCTTGTATTGCCCCTATAAAATTATTTGCTGTGAGCAATAGCTACACAAGATAAACATTTCTGTAAACAATACATTACTGAAACTGAGCTTTATCTCACGAGAATAATGTCAACAAATTATCTTCCACCACCATCACCGGATACATCTACGCCTCCTGACCTGACGGTGCCGGTGCCTTGGCCACGGAGTCCACCTATGCTAACATGGCCACCACCTATATCATCAGATAAGTTATCATCCGACGACTCTTCTTCTTCAACATCAACATTTGGTATCGTTATTGGTGTTGCTGCTGGGGTCCTAGGTGTTCTTTTGTTGTTTGCGATTTGGCACAAGTATCTTAGGAAGAAAAGTTGTTGTTCTTCTTCTTCAAAGTGTTAATCTTGGAACCTATAAACATCTTAATTCATGTGTGCACTGCAAAATTATATTTCAAAAGTTTTAATGTTACTGTATATTCAAAATTTCAATTTGAAACATTTGATTAAAACAAGAAGAGACGTTTACTATATAATTCAGGCTTTCTAGGATGCTGAAATGTTCATGTACATAACCCGAGAGCGAGAATAAATTAAAAAAGATACCGTGAGCCGTGCAAGATTGGGGAATAAAGCTAGATATCTAAACTAAGTCCAACAATTAATAATGGATAATAATAGATACTACTTGTTAGCTTGAAAATTTGAGAATAGCATTTCGATACGAAAGTGTGATATAAAGGTATGAAAATGTTGAGTGTAAGTTGACTAAATTATAGTGTCGACATTTTAATCGTTTCGATTAAATTAATGAATTCGACCCATCTATCAGGGACAATGAGTTCAACTTGTCTATCAAGTGTTTTAAAACTTAGCATATTCTTCAATCCAATGTGTCGTGGTGGGAAAAATCTTTGAGATTAAGTTATTGATTAACTTAACTCTTTTTTAATGAACCGAGCAACCATCTGTTTCGTCACATTTGCACAGGAGGCAACTTCCACCCATTTAGTAACATAGTCGATGGCGACTAGGATAAAGGATGATTGTTAGACGCTTTAGGCTCAATTACCCCAATCATATCAATCTCCCACATTGAGAATGACCAAGGTGACTGAAAGATGCAACAAAGTCACCACCGAACTTTATTTAGTTCCAAAGGACAGGGAAAATATCGATAAAACCCAAGGGAAGAGAAATAGGAAAGGGGGTCGGTTATGTGAAAGGAAGGTACTAGCACCTTAAGCACTCGTCGTACTCGACGGGAACTATTTCGTTCGCTTCTACGCTTGGATGGAAAGAAAAGAAAAGAAAGAAAAAGAAAGAAAGGAAAGTGCTCGCGGAGGATTGGGGCCCTCGTGCCTACGTACCCTCATAGTGCAATGAGGAAGTTAGAGTTTCGTAGTTCAAGGAATCAAGGAAAAGAAGAGGATCTGGACGAACCAGAGGGACAGAAGAATGGAAGAAGACGGAGGAAGGTGGCTCGCCAAGATTTCGCAATCTTATGCCTATGTACCCTCATAATGCAATGAGGAAGTCAGAGCCTACGTAGTTCGGGGAACTAACACTGAAAAAGAAAAGGGAAAGAGATGGCGTCAAAGCCAAGAACCAAAATAGAAAGCAAGACCCAACTGGGGAATGCAAAAGAAATGGTGTCAACACCAAGAAAGAAGACGAAAGAAAACTCTGCTGAGGAACAGAGAAGCGAAGAAAGAACTCTGTCGGGGAATGCAGAAGAAAAGTGATGACTCCACTGGGGAGAAAACAAAGAATGGCGACGTGCCCGGAGAAGAAAGGAGTAAAGGACAAGAATCAAAACAAAGGTAAGATCCACGGGGGACTCAGTGCATTAACTGTAAGCAGTGATTAACTAAAGAAAGATAAGAGTAAAGCTTTATGGGAAGAGCAAAAAGGTTAGTGTCAACAGACAGACTGTGATGAACCAAGCGAAAGAGAGTATTACCCCAAAGGGAGTTGTTTGACTCTGAGGGGGAATTGGTATATTAACTGATAAACAGTGGTTAACCGGAAGGAGAAAGGAACTGGTTTTAATCGATAAACGGTGATCAACCAAGAGACGGGTGTGGAACCAAGTAAAGATTATGACCCAAAGAGCGGCACATTGAATGACAAACAACACTTGGCCAAAGAAAAGGGGTATTCGAACCGATCAAAGGTTACTAACCCAAAGCTGGCAGTGTTTGAACCAAAGGTTGCTAACTGCAGGAGGTTCGGTGTTTAACAGATAAACTGTGATTAACCGAAAAGAATGAGTGATTAACCAAAAGAAGGTGATTAACTCAAAATAAAACTCAGCATCTTAACAGACGGGCTGTGGTTAACTGAGAAGAAGAGCGATTGGTTCAAACAGACGGACTGTGATTGACCAAAAAGCGGGTGATTAACCAAGAGAAGGTGATTAACCCAAAGAAAAAGCTGGTTTTAACGGGCAGACCGTGATCATCCAAA